GTGATGACAGCATTTAGGGGGTAACTTGATACAGGACTGTTTCGGGCTTATTGGCCTTCATTCAGCCAAGCGTAACCCTGACCACCAGCTGGGCTGGAGACGAATATGCGCACACACAGATGGCGCAGCTGGTACACCACTGAGGTCTACCAGATGGGTCGTAAGCACTAAAATTGTGCGTTGACATGTGTGGGGTTTGTTCTTCGGCTGTCACTTCCTTCTTAACCGGAATTTATATTTGTGCAGACCAAAGAAGAAAAGGCTGGTATTATTTTCAGTAAAATGCATGCATAAAGTCTTACCACTTAAACCCTCCAGTAGGCATATCCCTAGTGCTCTAATAAGAATAGCCCAACTTTCGTTAATTTGTCGTGTTTATCTCCTTCAATCGTGACTTTTTTCCACCTTTCTTGTACCTACCACGAAAAGCATCACGCCTCCCAACCCGGTGCTTCGGCTCTCTCTTGCCCAGCTAAAAGTTGGAATAAATAAGCCGATCAACATCAAAAATGCCATCGCATTAATCGAAAAGTGTGTTAAGGAAGACAAAGCGGAGATGGTGGTTTTGCCCGAGTGTTTTAATTCGCCCTACGGAACTGGATTCTTCTCTGAGTACTCGGAAATCATTCCGGACGGAAACACCTGTCAAGAAATGGCCGCAGTCTCTAAGTAAGTTCGCCTCATTCACTTCTTCCTGCTTCCTTCGTCTCATTCACTTTTTGATTCTCTTGCGATTCAATAAACCAACTCTAGCTGCTAAATTGTGGTTACGATGCATTTCCTTTTTTGCATTTTTAACTGATCATAGGAACCACAAGATCTGGTTGGTCGCTGGATCAATCCCCGAGAAAGGCTCAGATGGCAAGCTTTATAATACGTCGGTGGTTTACAATCCTGAGGGCGAGGTTGTAGGCACTTACCGCAAAGTTCACCTGTTCGATATTGACATTCCCGGTAAGTTTTGATTTTGTTCATCTCTCGTTGTGTTCTTACTCTGGGGCATGTCTGAACATCTGTCTTCCTGTTTTACTGTCTTTAGTAACAGTTGTAGAGCATCCTGCACGAAAGTCTATTCTTTAAATGGTACTCCGCTG